TGTAAAAACAATGTCATTTTTTTTTTCAATATATATCAATTAAATATCAAAATCATCACATCAAGTTTCAACAAATTAACTTGTACTACCTCCGGTCATATTTATAAGACATCAGTTGTAGTCTACAACCGAGATCTTATAAATAAGACCAGAGGTAGTATTAATTAGTCCACGATGCCATTAAAAACACTGAACCACATAAATGATTGCAAGTAATACTATTATCTTGCCAGAGAAGGAGATATTGAATATGACAAATCCTATACACCCTAGCGATATACAATTAAGCGTAAACTCAATTATCCAAGGACTTGATATGGATTGGGAGGGAAATTGGGTAGCGTTAGGCATGAGAGACGGCAATACTTGTTTGTAATTTGGTATCGCATGATCCCTCTACTTTTCAAAAATAAATTAGTTCATAAAATATTTAAAAATAATTTTATAAAAAAATATGTTAATAATCTGCGCTATGGTACGACCAACAACGCACAAAACTATCCACATGGTTTTAATTGTAATTAAATTAAGCCGGACAAATCCATGTATATTTCTAACATAGTCTCACTCCTTTATCCCACCAGTGTGAAGCTTTATTATATATAATTAACTGATATTTTTGTCCCTCTAATAAGATATAAAACACATTAGCATAATAATGCTGATGAAAATTAAACAAATAAAACAAGAGAAGCAATCTGCCCCTGCTTTGGGATTTCTAATTGGATATTTGATGAATCACCAATAAAAGTGTGCAAGTGTGTGTGTGTGTAGGAGCCAGAGAGGGACCACAATCCAGTGATAATTAAATTTGTCATATTTGCTCTTTAATAGTAGTAGTAATAATAATATATTATGATTTATTTAGATAAACCATGCTGTGACAAATACTCTTTTTGTCTATATGCACATTATTATTGGCCTCCTGATCCCCCAGAAGAACTTTAAAAAAAGGGTGTTCAAAATCCAACATCTCTATATACACACAGTAACAGAATAATTGAATTTGCAGATAAGGTACAACACGTTTTTATGGGCCTTGAGGGCTGTCTTCGTCTGGGGGACCCCTTATTAAAGACAATGTGGGGTGTCCCACAGTCACGTTGCTCCAAACTGTAAATTATTATCTGTGATCGAAAATGGAACAGATGGGACTTCCTTTTTATTTTCTCTTCTTTTTCTTTGCGATTTCCATCAAAGAGATTCTATTTCCAGCTATCAGATTGTATTATTTCTTCTGTTTTTCCCAGATCTATCTCGTCCATGTCCTGGAATCAACATATCCATTCATCAAATGCTTCACGTGCTTGTCCAGATCCATTTCAATATCTCGAGCCCCGACGTTCCTTAACTTGAATATTATATTGTTTGGTTCTTTTAAAACCAAATTCTTAGTGTGGTAATTTAATTAATGGATAAGATATTATACTCTTTCTTCTGATCATAAACTAGTTCCCGAGCTTTTTTTTTTTTTTTGAGTTTGCGAGGCAAATACTATGGAGATTTTATTGGGTTTGATAATAATTTATATCAATAGAACAAGCTTCTGCTTTTTCAGCATGAACTTTTTTTTTAAGAAAAAACATCGTAGACAGATATATAGTCTGATAAAAGATGGAGAGTAAAAATTTTATATAGTATAGTTGGTGCACAGAATCAATAAAAAAGTATGAGTTGATTTGACACTTGATTAGAAATCTTCTCTTCTAGTAGTGCTTCTTATACGTTTGCCCACTGATCTGACATGCATAAATTAGGCGTGCACAAATATTAAAACGCCAAAAATGAAGTAAATTAAAATTCTTGATTTTGGTTAAAAAATTTAAGATTCTTGATATGTGACAATTACCAGATTCAATGAACTACGAATAAATAAAAAAATTAAATCATCCAAAAGTAATGAAAAAACAAAATATTGCACGTATATATGAAGAGATCTTTAAAATCAAACCCAAACCAGAAAAAGCGTTCGTTTGAATTTGGTGGCGCTAGGTCTCCTATGGCTTGACATTTTGGACCACAACCCTAATCTATTAAACGAAATTAGTACAGAAAAAGTTAACGAACGTCATTAATTAAAAGTAAACGAAAATGATCACGAACTATAATATTCACCGTTAATGGACGAACGCAGCGAAGCATATTCGGTTTATTATATTCTCACTACGTAGATTCTGTAGTTGACGCACGTCTCGCACAAATTAAATTAATTAATAATCAGATTTCCTGTTTATGATTAATTACCATATCACAGCGTTTCTTTTGGGGACCAAGTGGTGGGGTGGTGGGATTAACCACTTTTCTGTATAAAATACAAAAATAAAAAAGGAGAAGTTTGGAGGGTCTCTCATAATTTTGCTGGTCCTTTAATTTGTCAATTTGTAGCTGTACAAATCAATAATAGTTGTGGACTTTATGAGTCTGGGGGATTTCTTGTAACTTTGGTTTTTGTTGAAACTTGATGATATAACTAATTAACCAGTTATACAAGCATGTCCCTGATGGAATATTATAGTGAGAAATTCTAAATGGCAAGGACTCTTATATTTTCCGGACTATATATACACATGGCACCAACGTTTCTGCCTCTACACCTTAGCATTAGTTCAAATACCCAGCCCTCACATTAAGATTATATCCACATTTCTATGTCCAGATCTACAATACAAAAACCTCACTGAAAAAATATTTCGAAAACGTCCTTGCTTTCCTTTTAGTTTTCTCTCTCTTTCTCTCATATTCAAACAGCAAAATCATGGGTCTTAGAGACATTGGTGCTTCGTTGCCTCCTGGTTTTCGGTTTTATCCCAGTGATGAAGAATTGGTGTGCCATTATCTCTCCAAAAAGATCTCAAACGAGGAAGCTCTCAAGGGTACTTTGGTCGAAATCGACCTGCATACATGCGAGCCATGGCAGCTTCCTGGTATGATTTATATATATGTCTCCTGATTCTCCTTCTGATTAATCGATCTGTTTCTGATACCTGTGTGGTTTGTTAATTTGTAAGTTTGTCACATAGAGCATGATCTCTCCGAGATTTTAACAATATAAAGATTATCCTTAATTGCTGCTTTGGTTCTGGGTTTATGAGATGATCAGGAAGGGAGGGGAGTGGTTTGTATATGGTTTACTTCTCAAAAAGATAAGCAACCAGGTGGTTGTCTTGTACTCCCGCTGGTTTTGGGTGGTTTTTTAATTGAAATCAGACCATGGTCTACGAACAAACATGCGAAGCAATTAATGATAATATTTGAATATACGAGGCAGACCGACATGCCTCGCCATATAGTTACCTATAGAATACGCAGTCTGCTGCTGTGGAGAGAGAAAGAGGGAGGGGTTTCCATTGATTAGTCAATTCTTCAATGATTATGCAAATCGCCGTTTCTTGATTATGTCATCTCTCCCAATAAATATTTTAACTCTGCATACATCCCCTTCTTCTTCTTCTTCTTCTTCTTCTCCTTCTTCTTTCACATGCGCCCTCCTACACCAGACGTCTTAACATCAGAGTTCTTTATAATTAATCTGCTACGAGTCTCTCTATTTAATTTCCGTCTCTTTTTGTTTCTGATCCATTGTTTCCTTTAGTTGAAAAGGCCTTCTCTCATGCATCAGTTTTCATTATATGTCCTGGCCAGTAAAATACAAATACTAAACTACAAATAATTACTTTAATTCCACGATAGTGCGCTATTTTTATTTTGACAAGGGGTGCTTCTCATGTGCAAGTTATATAGAATTAGATCCCACACTTACCCCAACAATTTAGTTTACTTCCATACCCATACACAGAGACATGCACATGCACCACAGTACCCCCCCCTTTCTCTCTACCCACACATTAAATTATACATATAGGTCCCTTAATCGCTTACACGTCATAAATTGGGACGTTATTTATCATTGTATTCTCAATTAATATATACATGTTGTAGTATTTACGAGGTAAGGCCATAAATATATATAGAGCGATGTGGGATGAACAGAAGCCGATATTCCTGTGTGTTGTATAATTAATTAATGAGTAGGCAGATATACAGATGATATGGCTAGGTAGAGACTCTATAATTTATCTTAAGACCGAAGCTAAGTAAGTTGGTTCATGCACATAATTATCATCCGGATGTGACGAGTTTTAGGCTTATGTATTATAATAACTAAGTTGACAAAGCAAAACACCCTGGCCAAGCAACGTAAGACTGCTGTTACAACAGTTGTTAAAATCACTCTCAGATACGTGACCATCTGGCACTTCATTACTCCTTCACGAGTTTTCATTTTCACCTCATCATGTTCGATCACGTTATTATTATAGGCACTTGGACCCCTCAATCATTCCACCAACATTAAGCGTGTCACTAATTTGCTAATTTCGACGTGCTTCTCAGGTTGATTTTGACTGATTAATTACTTTTCATCTCTCTGTGTTTACATTAATTATTTACAATATTATGTGATATATCCACTGTCACTCTCAACAAACTAAAGAATGGCTTTTTGTGTACATGAAAAGAGATTCTTGATCTTCCTTGCGTAAATCACCATCATCATCATCATCAGCTGGCATGGATATATGGATCGTGAATGGCCGTGAAAAACGGTAAAAAGAGAAAGAGGAAAAGCTGGTTACGTAATTTACATAGATAGAAAAAACCTCCGAACAATTCCAAGTCCCAGAGTTTTGTCATGGCCTTCTAGTGGGAAACCTTATATATCATATTGATGAAGAAGCTGACATGATGATGATTCACGCAATACCTAATTATTCCTCAAGAGACAAAATAGTTAATGAATGACATATACACATATCTATGAACTATGATCAAACCATACAATGGTGCCTATTTTTGTACCGAATATGACTCACTTATATAACTATATATATATATATATATATATCTTCACTGTGTAAATTATATATGCAGAGGTGGCTAAGCTCAACGCGAACGAGTGGTACTTCTTCAGCTTCCGGGACCGCAAATACGCGACGGGGTTTCGGACCAATAGGGCGACGACATCTGGATATTGGAAAGCCACGGGCAAGGATCGAACGGTGGTGGATCCGATGACGAGAGAGGTTGTAGGGATGAGGAAGACGTTGGTGTTCTACAGGAACAGAGCTCCCAATGGTATCAAAACGGGTTGGATCATGCATGAGTTCCGCTTGGAGACCCCACAAATGCCCCCTAAGGTTCGTTTTCACATTTCTTCCTTTCAATGGCCTCTTTTTTTCAAATTCTGATGCATATATATTCTACCATTAATTAATTTTAACAAGTTCTAATTAATTAGCTAATATACAAAACCAGGTATAGTTTGATAACAAAAGCCGCCAACGGGATTAAGGGCAATTATTTAATTTGAATATTTAAGTCGTCTGACGTAGCTAGTTCCTTTTCAGGGTTTTGAAAGTGTGTCAAAGAATCAAAAATCAATTCCTGTGTGGTTTTGAAAATGAAGGTTGTGTGCGTGCATGTGAAGTGGGATCTCATAAAATTTCGCCACCTTATAGATAAAGGACGTGGAATGGGCAAGTCTTAGAAAGCAAGAAGGAAGGAAAGAAAAAGGAAGACAATTTGTGAGAGGGTTATCCAAATCCTAGCTATTCAAGGATAAAAATAGGGGAAATTAAGAGAAAAAGGGAAAAGGGGTGTTGAAATTAATAAAGTGAGAAAAGATAAAGGCGTGTGCGTGCATTAAAGGGTTAAGATTCGAATGAAGAAGCTAATTAATTAGGTCAAACTTTGGTTGATGATTACAGGAAGACTGGGTTTTGTGTAGAGTATTCCACAAAACCAAATCAGATGACAACACCAACAACAGCAATATCAGTGCCGAACTCATGTGGGATTCCATTTCATCTCCTTCTCTAACTTTGGCTTCTTCGTCTTCTCCAACCAGCCACAACTTCCCTCTCCTCGCCTACAACCAACTTTCCTCTTCTTCTACTTCCTCCATCCCCACCTTCATTAATAACACCCAACCCAACCATCATTCTAATTCTCTCCTCAACTTTCTTCAATTTTCTCGGGAAACAAACACCGCCACCACCAGCACCGTTACTCAGGACCAGATTAGCCCCAGAGGCGGCGGCGGCGGCGATGATGGCTATGGCGGCTTCTTCTGGGACATGGGCCTCGAAGATAACAGCGGTTTTCAGAATGGCGTCGATGCTATGCGATCCTTCGAGGTTGATAATAATAGCATGGTCTTGTTGTGAAGCGTTGGTGTGTATAGTGTTTTGTGGATTATTAATTATTGTTCCTATAAAAATTACCAAAAATTTGTTCATTGTGATGTATTTGTGGTGTCTGGCTTTGAGGAACAAGTCACGTGCTTGATCGCAAGTTGTAATAGGGGTTATGTGGTATACTGTTCAAGTGCTTAGAAGTATATGGTCGATCAATTAGTTTTTTTTAAAATTATTTTTTGGGGTATACATCAATTAGGCTGTAGTGAAAATATATATATGATCCTCTATGTACAATTTGTTTGTGTTAATTAGTGTCAACTTATTCGCTATTTGGATCTTATATATGGTATATATGGATTGGTTCCGAACTTCTTCTCTTCCCTTCCCATCCTCTTCTTTCTTTAACCATTAGATTAATATTTTAACAGTTCATATTTAAATTTTTTTAAATTATTATAAAAATAAATAAATAATAAATTACAAACAATATTAAAATTTAATTTGAATGGTTTGGAAATGCTCTAAATGTTTCTAAAATTTTTAATAAATAATTTATAAAAAATTAAAATCTAAACCGTTAAAATATGTTAATCTAATGGTAAAGAAAAAAAGAGGAGGGAAGAGGATGGGAAAGGAAGAGGAATTTTGACCTACCATTTTTTTTGTTCTTTGTGTTGGTTAAGCGCCATGATTAAGCAAAACTATATAGCTAATTATGCCCCACTTGGATGGCTGAAATGAGGAACTATGTAATAATTAAAAGAATGCAAAACCAATGCCACGAAATATACTTTAATGGTGTTCGGATTGCTATTGAAATAACAGGACAACAGTGTTGTTATTTCAACTCTAGATATTTATATTTGCATCAACCAAATGTGACTTAGACAGTCACTTTAAGATTTATATTTATTGTCTTCAAATTTTTAATTCCTAGTTACCAATAAAATATTATTTCTATTTCGCATAATGTTTCTTTTAAATAAAATATATATTAAAATTTTAATAACAATATATCTGTAATCTAGATATCCAGATCAAACCAAATACTCCTCCGGTCCTTAATATAGGACCCAATTCTTGAGTTGATTTTGGTCTTAAATATAAGACCTATTTCTCATGTTTATCAATTTTATCTAAATTACCCCCATGGATACTCCCTCAACCATAATCAAGTAGAAGAGAGAGAAGATATTAAGGGGGTGTTTGGCAACCTCCAAACCATGGTTTCAAAAGCACTTTTCCGTAAAACGAGACAAATTCCTCTACATATTTACTTTATAAGCTGTAAAAACACTTTTGAAATCATAGTTTGATTTCTATCCAAACACCCCCTAAGAAAGATGACTATGGTATTTTAGGAAAAATGTATCACTTTTCTTCTAATTAACTAACTTACCTAACTTTCTTAATCTAATTAAATTAGTTAAATGGATCTTATATTAAGGATCGGAGGAATACGTTCTACTGCCCAAAAAAAAAACTACTAAAGTATATAGGAAGTATAAAAGATAAAGAGTCATCTTCCGATTTCGCTCAAACATCCTTTTTCATGTACATATAATAAAAACAATATCAAAGATAATTTACTCGAAACTGATAACGAATAGATTGCCAATATGCCCACTCATAAGAAATGGTGCCATATGAAATTACTCCCACACTTCTTTGCCTCAGCGATTAACCCCGTTAACCAGATATGAATTTAGTTTGCAAATATTTAACGCTCTACTCATTATTATATACTGAACTATAATTATACTTGCACGGTACATCTCATGAATAAACACCTGGTAAATATGTAGCTGGCGTAATTAATTATGTGTAACGGGAGAACAGGGCTGTAAATCAATGATAAAGAAAACAACAGATGACCCAATCAATTCAAATTAACGTCATTAAAAAATGATGTTACATTTTACTCAAATCAAGCATTAATCATTTTGTCTCCCGGCCGCTTCCGCCGGTAGATTTGCTGATATATATATATATTACGTTTAACCCAAGATTCTAATCAAGAGTGATGAAGATGGATTTTTTTATTTCTAAAAAATAAAAAAGAAACTGTGAACTTATATTGATACTTTTTACACATGGATTTGAAGCATGTGATGAGATACTAAAAAGCTAGCCAGGTTGATGATGAGTAAAGAAGAGAGTGTTTTCCTACTTTCCTTTGGCTTTGGCCGGGCTTATATTTCAACGGGAATCTTCAGTCTATTTCTGCATCAGAGTAATTAGGGACATTAACAAGACGCCTAATAAGATATTTGATAGGCCAAATCTTTTACTTTATTATCATTCACTATTATAGTGCTCTAATAAAGCCCATGCACGCATTGCCACCACAGAAAGTGACTCCCCAACATATTTTGCAAGCAAATCAAAACAAAGAAAGGAACATGCATCAAAAAGCTTCATATATGCACATATATGGCTTCGTCACCTTGATTTATCTTATCTACTTTCCCTTTTAATAATTTCTGGGATCGTTTAATCAGATAATATTAGAGCATAGGTGTTTTTAATTTCCAATGATTTTACGTTCATTTCACTGTATGTTAGTTATTTGTCGGCACACTTGTCCGACGCTGGACTAATTCCATGTTGAAACATGTGCCTATGAGGTTGGGTAAATAGATTCTCTGATTCTTTATTATTGTTGCTTTGGTGTGCTATCTTCTTCTCTCTCTTTTTTCGTCTGCTTTAGCCTTTTTTGCTTTTTTCCCCCCTATTCGTGTCGTTGTTTTATTCAAAAAGACCTATTTCTTAGGAAACTGGTAATGTGTCTGCCTCAGCCTCCTTTCATTTGACACAACTCTTCCACAGCGTCGCAAGGTAACGTGTGTGTATAAATAACTATTGATGAGCACAATCATTGGAGGCCGCTTGAAATGATGATATAATTAAGTTCAATATGTATACGTGTAGAAGCTCTTTTATTAATTAATTCCCATGAGCATGCTATAGCTATATATATCCAATCCCATGTTTTGTTTAATTAAAAAACTATATCTGATTTCTTAGTTTCGTCAGCTTCTAATTTGACATAGAAAATTCAGGAAAGGCCAAGGGAAGAATGATAAAATATGATGCTTGAAGTTGTCTGCAAGATATGTAGAGCAGAACTAATTAATTCTTCTTGTTGTTTTGCGTAAGAACTAGGAATTATATTATCGCTCGCCTGCGATGGATATGAATATATATGAAATACATGTCTAAATCAAGTGATTACAGTCAAAATAGCAATGAAATTCTTTTTTTAAGTACAGTTAAGAAAACGACGACGTACGTGATCTCTTGGCCATGTTTTTACCATGAAATAATGAAGTCCTTTCTATATATAAGCTTATCACCTAATAACATGCATATAATATAGTAGTTAATAATGAGTCACACGTTATTTTGACTTCTGTCAAAGAGTTAATCCTCCGACATTTACTTAAAACAGCATGAATTATTGTCAGATAAGGTAATATGATGAGGTAAGAGAATGATTATGAGTCGTTAATAAAGACTGCAGGGGGAAAAAAACAAGAGGCTTTAATTTGATTCCCACCGGCATATGTTGTAATAATAATAATAATAGCAAATAATTTGAAGATTTTAGATAGGCTGGCTTTTTGTGAGCTGTTTGTTGATTCCCCTATGTCGGCCGTTGCTTCTGAAAAGTGAAAGTTGGCTCTGAAAAATCCCCAAAAGAGTTTCACCCATTATCTTCTTTAAGCCACGGCACTTCTTTCCTGTCCTGCCCCCCCCCCTCAGTATTCTTCTTTTGGAACGTTCTTATCTTCTCAGTCAAGTGACAAATTTATTTCCATGTTCATCGTTGGATTCCATATTCTTATGCACATATATACATTAAGACATATAAAAGTTGAGGGGGAAAAAAAGACTGAGTGTGATCATATTTGATCCTTATACAATTTATATTCGCCCTTTTTTTTCTTGGCTCCTTCAGAATCAGAATGAATCATATAATTAACTTTCATTTGGAACGAGCATATATATTCCTCGACCCAACCTCCCTTCAAGATTATCACTAAGCATCAAGGATCGAATTGTTATATCTGATCACATATTCAGGGAAACACATAGTCGTGCTAACTGGCTTACTTACCAAAGCATACACCAACACAACTTGGTATTAGGATTGTTAATGATCCACCCAAAGTGTAGAAACTTTTTGGTCTGTTCATACAATGAAACGCTTGTAGGCATTTAAAAAAAAAAAAAAAAATTTTTACGCGATCTCGTATTTATAATTTATTGATGCAATGAAATTCTTGTAAACGCTTAAAAAAGTGTTTTTATGCAATTTCATACGGCGTAAAATCACTTAAAATAAATTAATTCAAATATTTGAGTCTCGCTTTCTTGCACGGTTTTGGCCATTTTTTGTTGAAAATGAGTTGAAACTTGAAAGACGCTTCACTGCCCTCGGCTGAAGGTTTTTTGGGCCAACTTTTCATTTTACTTTGTTGGGCATGGCTCACGGCCCACAACTGTAAATAACCCAAATCAAACAAGCGTGAGCATCGCTATTGGCATAGCTTAATTTCCTCCATAAAAGAGAAACAATTCTGTGATTTAATACTACAAGTTCGCATTCTGCTGACGTAATAAAAAAACCAAATATTCTTTCTCAGATCCAACACTCATTTTATAATATAAATTATAGGGAAAACTAATATGGCAATCCTCATACTTTAACTTGATTTTAAATCAAGTCCTTGGAGTTTTTTTCTTTTTTATTGGCTCCTCCAAATTATCTCCGTTAAAACCGTCACTCCCTTGCACCCAAAAACGTTTCAAGACGTTGCAAACGACGTTTATGGCTGGTGACCTGTCTAATGGGGAGATGATTTGGAGTTGGAATAACGAGTTATGAAGTCACTCAATCTTCAAAAGGCTTGGAAAGGGGATTTAGGGTTCGAATAATTTGGCTTGATGGCGGGAGAATTATGATATCTCACCTCAAGACCCGAGTTTGAAATGGCGAAGATGAACAAGGAAAAGATTTAGGGTTCCTTGGCCGCGGATAGAGAAGGAGAAGGTCACAAATAAACATGTATGAAAGGAGGCATGATTCTTCGTCATGTGTGAGAGGGATGGAAGATCATGATGCGTGAGGTGTCACCAAAAGAAGTGTTGATATGTGTGTTATGAGAATATGGGTCTTATGAGAAAAACCATATGCAATTGAACGCAAAAATCATACTTTTTTGAACTTGTTGCTTAAAAAACATTAAGAAACAGATGAATAAGAAGCTTCGTCATTGTGTTTCCTTCTCTAACATTTATGTTGCCTCCGGACCTTTCCTCTTCCTGCTTCTCTTCTACTAGCCGTTGCTTCTTGTTTGCAAAATTCATTCAAATGTTTTGCAGAGCAAGATAAGAAGAGTGAATTCCTTCAAATATAATAAATAAATCAAGAAGCAGAACCTATCAGGATGTCTGTTCTCGACTTGAAAGATTATGATAAAATAAATCATTAATAAATCAGTTTATTCAAAAATGTCAATCATCAATGGGTTTCTACTTGAGAAATTTAATGGCTTTCAAGGTGGGGAAGTGAGAGAGAGGGGTTTAGAAACAAGAGAACAATTCAGTGCGAAGAAACTGAAGGGGTGAGTCTCTGAGGTGGCAACATATAACACGTTTTTGTTGGGTATATTCTACAAGCCACATATCTTGCGATTGATGCCGTTTGCAATGTGCAGAAACGTTTTTGGGTGCAAGGGAGCAACGGCTTTAACGGAGATAATTTGGAGGAGCCAATAAAAAAGAAAAAAACTCCAAGGACTTAATTCAAAATCAAGTTAAAGTATAAGGAGTGCCATATTAGTTTTCCCTAAATTATATAATAAATTAAGTCTTACATTTAGGGTCAGAACAGTGATATATTTTATATTTATATATATATTTTTTGGCCAAAGATATAAATTATCTATCAATTCTCATTATTTATGATTAGCTTAGACGCATGAGGCATTTTATGGGTTTTGAAAAAGATGCATGTCTATTGAATTATGTTATGAAACAACAAAATACGTAGCTTAATATAAATTAAATAAATACTATTTGAAATCATAAATAATATGCTGGTGTTTAGGTTTCACATAACGTTCGTGGCATCGGCCTCACAATCCAATAACTCACAATGTGCCATGTAATCCAGAGCTATGCCTCCATCTCTACCGTCAGTTTGCAAAATAAATCCTACCCGTCCATACGATTACGCATCAGTTCCTCCCTCCCTCCGCTGAAGTTATATTTTCCGGCGAGCTGAGCTTCGAATAATATTCCCTAAGCCACCGTTGTGATGTGGAGCTTCGAAAGTCGAAACGCACACTGTGACCCCATTGTTTCATCCAGCTCCTTCGTTTAAGGAGAAACTCGTCCTTCGCCTGAAGGATTCTGCAAAAGCCCCATAATTCAACGAAGCGACGAAATCGGTTGCTTCCCAGAATCAAGATTTGAAATTCTTGATGCTTCGTTGAGGTATAATATCGTTGAAGTGATTTACTTAAAATACTTGAAATGGGTTTGCATGGGAATAAGTTCTTACATTCCAACTTCCAAGGATATCAGTGATTTGAAATGATGAGCATGTGCTTTATTACATTCATTTTAATGTCTTTTGCGATTTTAATCAAATGGTAGTAGCACAGTTTCATTCTTCTTCTTCTTCTTCTTGGTAAAAAGGAGGGAACTAATTCCCTTTCACTCATTCATCTCTACCTAACTGCATTACGGTGTATAGGAACTTTATTGTAGCTAACTACGTTTCAATTTTCCACCTATTCATTTTCTCCCCTTCCAAGCATAACCTTAGTTGGCTATAGTGCTATTTTGAACAATGCAAATTCCAAGTAGCCGGGATAAATAATATATTTACCAATTTGGATAGGCCATTTGCACGCTGTAGCGTGAATTGTGAAAGTGTAATTTCTACGAAAACTGGTCAATTGGAAAACTTTGCCCTCCTAGAAGTTTGGGAGGGCTGGGATTCAGAAATATTCATTGGATGAATATGTCTTTCAAAGTTAACTTGACTTGGAAGCTAGTTTAGGGCTTTAAGTGTCTCTGGAGTGAGGTGTTAAGAACAATTTATTAATTACCCACAAGATGAAGCCGATCTCTTTAAGGTTAGGAATCCCCCCCCCCCCCGGGTTTCATTTATTTGTTAGCCGGCCTCAATCATTGATGGGGTCCACGTGGCGAGTAAGAAGTGGGGAAGAGGTATGATTTCTTTTGGAGATAACTGGGCAGGAGAGAATATCAAACTCTCCGAACTACGCACACAGCCATTAGCATGGAACTAAGAGAGAGCAAGGTATGAATGGGTCATGATTAGAGGGCATCGCAGTAGTGAAAAGCAAACGGTGCCCTTGAGAGGCGCTAGAAAGTGCACACTTGAGCAAATCAAGGTGCTAAAATAAGGGGGGGAAAATTGCTATATGATAAAATAAGTAAATGTAACTTAAAATAATATCACTATAGGAGCATATAAAACTAAATAAATGACCTCTGTGCGCTTCCGGCTAATTTTGAAGTGTGCATATCATAAAGTCTTTGCACAGCCTGTGCAATGGTAAGGGGCTAGTGCTAGTTTGACATGTAAAATTACATATCAAAGGTTGGGTTGAAGTGTTCAGATTGTGTTTTATGGTGTTTGAACTTAGAGTATAAGTTGATTACTTCATATGAGCAAGGCGATTGCGTTAGTGAGGTTCTGAACAGCTATGTGAGAGGCTTAGGACTTATTTAGTGTCTCACTTTAGTGCCTTAGGTGTTAAGCTGAGTGCCTTTGACTACACTATGAAGATGAGTTTCTCCGACGATCTGCCATGAGCTTCTTTTTTTGGTGCCCTGCCTCTTGAGCTGTCACTAGGGCTAGATACAAGAGCTTGGATAAATCTAAGAGGGGTGTATTCACCAGTAGAAGTGCTCATAAGATGTTAGAACCAGATGATTTTTCTAATTTGTGTGGGGAAATCTGGAAGTAATTGAGAGATGAGAGGAAATGGATGTTTCTTTGACTAGCCTTACATGCCAAACTTCTCACAAATGAGAAGAGAAGCAAATGGAGAGCTATATGGCTATACTGCATATGGTGTCGGGGAGAGATTAAAACCGCTCTTCATGTATAGCTTCCTATGCAACAAAACTTTTTTACCCGCTCTGTTCAGTGTTAACTTTGAGAAGAAGATGGGTTTTAGTGAGGATCCTCCCTGGGTCTCCACGTGGGGTCACACAGCATGTTTGTGGCCATGACAAATGAAACTCTTTCCCAGGAAAATTTGATGGGGCCTGCAGGCCCTATATCTTTCATTGAGCTGAGGGTTCAAGGCTACCTTCTGCTGCTCCACCTCTTCCACTAGCTTGCTGGAAGGTGTATTGTCTGGTATCCTACAAAGGGAGAGGAGGTGGAGACCTCCACCAAATGGCTTGGTGAAAATCTACACTGATGGATCGATTTGGTGAGGGGAAGAGCAAGCTGGTAGCAGAGGCCTAATTAGAAATTCTCAAGGAGCATGGGTTGTTTACTTCACTTGTTCATTGGGCAGATGTTTAGCTGAGGATGCAGAAGCTTGGGGAGTCTTAGAAGGTTTGCACTTGGCTGGGAGCAGGGGGTTTACAACAGCATGAGGAGTTAGACGCCATACCTTTGGTACAGATTATGAAGACCCCACTAAACTACAAGATCATTTATACGACATTTTTTCTGGCTTGGTTTCTGTTAACACGCTTCCCTGTGTCTTATCTGGTTGAAATGCTAGTTCTTTATCTTTCTTCCTTTGTTCTTTTCCCCCTTATGAAAGTTTGATGCTCTAGGTTGAACTGTTGAATGATTTATACCTCTACTAGGGTGGCCAGGTCCCCAGTCTTGTTATATGTGGCAGATCTTCTATTCCAAAATTCAGCTCTAAGTTCACTGTATCCATTATCTTCAATGCTCTTTATACGATCTTTTGTTTGGCCTTTGTTGCAGTAGTTATGGAATCAGAAAATAGAAGAAAATCTGTGAAACCCAAAAATGAAGAAATCCCTTCAGTTCCCCCTGGTTTTAGATCCCTTACTTCTTTCATACTAAAAAGGGTTGCAAACACTGATAAATCTGAATGTGATCCAATTTGCATGGAGAGTATATTGAAGCTAAATGATGCTGCTGCATATAAGGCAATTCTTAAGCATCGTCCATGGATACTTTTTGATCAAAGTGACCATGACCTTAAGAAGTCTGACGCAGAGCATTTTCCTCAGGTATGTTGGGAATCTTGCAATTTTTTGTTGACAATTGGCTCATAAATAAATCTGTGCTAGAAGATTGTAGTTTCCATGTGCATACAGTAGGACTTGCTGGACAGTAATCTGATTGTATTCATGATATGCCTTGAAAATAAAGTCTAACTTGAATCAATGGGTGAAATTATGTAAATCCTAAAAAAAAAAAAAGGGTTTTTTATCTCACTAGGTGGGTTTGACTGCACAGATCACTCAACACCATTGTGGTTTATCAACGACCCAATTTTTAAATATACTGTTCACTAAAAAGTTCCATTCAATAACTTGTTTGACATCTCTTCATAGGACTTAAAACTGTCTATTCAGTCCTCTCTTTGTTCATGTTTGAACCACCTTGTACGAATTTTTATCATTTTCTCCTCAGTAGATGCCATGTCAGCTCTTCCTTATGCATGCTTTGGCCAAAAAAAAAAAAAAATCTTATTTGTATCTACCCCTCTCTAAAGAACTCCAAACAGTTTGATCTACTTTCGTCACTGACCTTATTGGCACCTCTAACATCTTGCTTTGAACATGTTGAAACCATCTTAAATGATTTTCAACAATTTTCTCTTCAGTAGATGCCACACCAACTCTTCCTTGCCTAAGTTCCACATTGAATAATATAAACTTATGGTGTATTTAAGCATGTTGATTTTCTTACCTCAATAGCTAGGTTAGGGGAGGGTTTACATTTGAGTGCTTGTGAGCAACTAGTATATTCTAGTTTATGTGTGCTTGTCTATGGGGGGTTTGGTGTAGAGGTGTGGGATGCTTAATACGCTTATAAGCTGTAGATTAGGTAAGATCACCTTAAAGGTGGAAAATAACTAATGCGTCAGTATATATGATTTGCTTGAAGGATAATTTGACAGCTTATGTCCTTAAGCTATTTTGTTTTGCAAAAAATAGAATTGCAGCCATAGGGATCTCATAATTGGTTTTCTTTTCTAGCATGCATGCAAAATTAATTGTGTGGTTCAAAATTGGTTTTCCAGGGGTTTTCTTCAAATGCTCATCTTCCAAAAGGGGTTACTGTTGGTTGTCCAGAATGTAGTGATTGTCTGAAGGTTCCTCTCTGTCCCCAGATCTTAAGCAAATTATTTTACTTCTTAAACCCATGGCATATTTGATGGTACACATACTCTTTCACTTTACCATTTGATCTTAGAAATTCCACCATGTCTTGAATTAGGTAGCTGCAAGGTGGTGCCCTGAGGATGCAAGAAGAGATGTCCTTGATGAAGTTCAAACTTTCCGCCCAACAGAAAAGGTACCTTCAGAACTACTGTAATAGGACTCAGATGTGTTTATTTCCATGCTTCCTTTTTGTGTCTTGATCATAGTATTTCAAATGTGGATTATATTCCTTCTTAGGTTTATAGAAGTTTGAGTAGTTGCTTTTACGTTTGAAAGGAATTTGAAGACACACTTAAATATATTGCAAGCATACGTTCCAAAGCAGAGCCCTATGGAATTTGTCGTATTATTCCTCCTCCTACCTGGGAAGCACCATGTCTTCCCGAGGAAAAAAATATATGGGAAGATGCCAAAGTTGTTACTCACATTCAGCGGATTGATGGACTTCAAATTCAGTTCCAACAAGAAGTTATGGACAACTCTTCTGGAAATGCAGAGACCAACACCAGAAGAGGTCTGAGAGTAGCTTTGGACTCTCAACCTGGTAATGAAAACCCCCATGATGTTGAAGACTCTAAGTCCAAACCTGGCCCTACATTCAATCTCAGTACATTTAAGAAATTTGCTGATGGTTTCAAGGCCAACTACTTCAACTGTGACAATAATGATGTGGGTTCTGACGAAAAGTGGGAGCCAACGGTGGAAAATATTGAGGGTGAGTATGGACGGATTATTCAAAATCCAACTCATGAAATTGAGGTACATCAAGAAAAAATTCAAAACATGCAATGCCTTATACTCTATGTTTTCTGATATTAGACTTAACGTGAAACTTCTAATTCATGTTATTCTATAGGTGCTTGTTGGTAACAACTTGGGGGCTGGAGTTTTAAGCACTGGATTTCCAATAATGCCTGATCCTCTGGAGTCATGCAAATATCCGAAGTGTATGAGATCTGGATGGAACTTAAATAATATGCTTACACAATCTGGTTCTCTTCTTTCATTTGAAAGCTCTGAGGTTTCTAGTAAATTTGCCCCTCGGGTTCATGTGGGAATGTGTTTTTCTTCATTCAATTGGGTAAGTTGTGCTTGTATATCTTGCTATTTGCATGCATTTCTCTGTATTTCTTAATTCGTACTTTTCTGTGGGGGATGCACGTTAAAATATGTTTTGTTGTGGAATTTATTTTCTCCATTTATCTTGGTTATCGTTTGAGAAAACAGAAAGTAGAAGAGCACCAGTTGTACACATTGTGTTACATGCATGTGGGAGAGCCTAGAGCTTGGTATAGCATTCCGGGAAGATTTGCTGCTGACTTTGAAACAGTGAGGAAGAAGCATCTCCCAGTTTTATTTGCAGAACAGCCTGACTTGCGTGACAAGTTGGTGAGTTGCATATGAGAGCCAGTTATGAAGATTCTTTTAATCTTTGAACAGTAATAGGGCATGATTTGTGTTCACTGAGCTCCTTGTCACATTCATCATAAACTAAGCAATTCAGATCTGGTTGCATATATATTGGAATTATCATCTGATTGGTTAGATGGGCTCTATAAGTGTCTCTAATAATTAATTAATCAATTCCATTCATTCTCTTTTATCATGTGCCCATCTCTCGCTGTTTTTTCTGGAACTTTCTCTTGTTGATTGTTCATGGGCCATACTTTATGTCTAGTTCTGCATTCGTCGGGTGCATTTTTCATCTATGGTATAAGCTGCTTTTGATTTTGGTTTCCTCTTCATATCTTTGCTAAGTAGCTGGGCAAATATTATATGTATCATTTCAACAACTGAAAATTACATGGGCAGAGACAAGAGCACAGGTTCAAGTTAAAGGACTTGTATTTCTTCCTCCTGTAATCACGTTGTTTCACATTAGTAACTGGTACAAGCAATGCCTTTGTTTCGCACAACCTTCTGCTCATTGTTTAGCGCTGGCAATCCAACTTTGTGTTAAAGCTTAGCTCATAACAAGCTTTAAAGTCAAGTTTCAGTTCTCCTAGGCACAAGTTAGCAAAGCCTGAAAGCTGCTTGCGGGAAATATTTCTTCTCTGGCATTGAGTGCTTTGGTCTAACAGTTATAGCTGTTAATTTGATTGAGAGAATATATAAATATAAAATGGTTATTCTTGAACTCACTCAATTTTCTGAGAATAAATAGTTTCAAATTATTCGATTGAAATGTTTATATTGCTGTTTTGGGAGCCACAAAGTTTATATTGCTGTTTTGGAAGCCACAGGGGATTCGCTATCTATTTGCACACGTACTATTTTAAGGTTTTTACATGAGTATGGTACTATGAATGCAGTTATCCTCCACCTTATTGAAGTCAGAGGGTATACCAGTATATCGCTGTGTTCAGTATCCCAGGGAGTTCGTTCTTGTTTTCCCAGGAGCATACCATTCTGGATTTGATTGTGGTTTCAATTGCTCTGAATCAGTCAGTTTTGCTCCTCTTGATTGGCTGATCCACGGACAGAATGTTGTAGAGTTATATTGTGAACAAAGGAGAAAGACTTCAATATCATATGATAAGTTGCTTCTTGGGGCGGCAAGGAAAGCTGTTAGGGCACAATTTGAGATTGAACTCTGCGGGATGGGTAACCCAGATAATTTACACTGGAAAGATGCATGTGGAAGGGATGGGATATTAACAAAAGCTTTTGATGTAAGTCACTCAGACCTTTGCCCTCTTGATTTAATGGACCTGTTCCTTAGTCTACGTCAAATCCTGTTGATATTTTACATGGAATTTATCTTGAGCGATGAAAAGGTGAAGCAAGCTTGAGATTTTTCTTTTTTCCACTTCGAATGATGAAAAGAGGGATTTGAAGTCCTTAGGGATGGGTTCTGTCGATTGAGTATGGCTTTTCTCAAATTGGTGGCCTAACAGAATTATATTGGATTTGTTTTCTTGGTGTAGTTACGGAGAAAGAGTGAAAGTTCGAAGAGGGAATTTCTTTGCGCTTCCCTGAAATCACAGAGAATGGAAAAGGACTTTGATGTCACATGCAAAAGAGAATGTTGCGTATGTCTGCGTGATTTACACTTATCTGCCATAAGTTGTCCATGCTCAAACGACAAATTTGCATGTCTTAATCATGCAAAGCAGCTGTGTTGCTGCCCTTGGAGTGACAGATCCATTCTCTGCCGATACGAAATCAGCGAGTTGGATACCCTTTGTCTTGCTTTGGAGGGAAAAGCAAGTGTTGTCCACAAATGGGCCAAAGTCGATCTTGGATTAACTGTGCACTCCCTTGCCTCCAAGAGAAATATGAGTGGTTCTTCGTCTAACCCTTTGGCCAGAGAAGCATTTTTGAATTCTCTGAAACGGAAAAGAGATGCAGTCGAGTCCGAAGGTACGAGCACGGATGGTATCTCTTCCAGCATCGAGGCAAAATTGAAGGCACCTTTACCTGAATCAACATGTGTTGGTAAGTCCATGGGAAAACAGAAAACGACAGGCCAACAATCTACAGCAAGACACATTAAGAGTGGGGCCAATTCTGCTGCGGCCAATATACCTGATCCGAAGTCACGGAAGGTTCAGTCGTCAATTCCAAGTTTAGCTAAAAATGACCCAAAAGTGGGTAGGGATTTTCTAGGTCTTAGTCTAACGTCAGGTCATATGGCACTGCTGCCTGAAGTCAGGCCATTTGATGTTTCTTCAGATAGTTCATCTTCATTATCAGAATCCGATGATGACGCTTAAGCAGCTGGTAGTAAGAAAATTTCATGGAGCAGTACTTAACAGTGTTTGATTCCCACAAAAGAATCATCTGTGAAGTGCAGTACTGGATGTGCGGATGATACATCCATTCAGGCTTCAGGGTTTAGACTTTGAGCTTGAGCTGCAATTAGGGGCTTCATGTGTACTCACAAATTTATATTCTTTTATATCATTATCTTCCCAAAATACGCACACATATATGTATGATGTAAAATACCAATCCATGTAGCTGTAATTTTATTTTCTCCATCTGAATTTGGAAAAGTGCTCACCAGGAACATAAGCTGGCCCAAGCAGGACTAGAAAAAATATATGCTGACATGGAATATATCGTGAAGTACAAGAACTAGAAACAAAACACGATTAAAGACGTGTAGTATTTTTTAATATATCGTTATATTATTTATTATACTTTTTTCTTTTGCAGTTTTTTTTTTTCAATTTTATTGAAAGCATGGCGTTATATTTGAGTACCTCTTTCAACATGTAAATTTCACTATATGAATGGATGAAACCTGAAGTGATGCTCTGCTTCTTGATCGCTATATCTCATGCTTTTTGCTCTGCAAGCAAGGGATCTTTGTCGGTTAATGGTTATGCCAAAGCATATTCCTGATTCCTTAATTATTGACAACAAAATAACTGTGATAACCCGCTCAAGAATCAAAGCAATTGTTCGGCAACTCAGTGATTAAAATTTATCTTCTATGTATAAGATAATAAATATATTTGTAAAATAAAATTTAACCGATGAATTATAAACAATGCAATTTACATTATTAGATTTTGACATTTTGTCCTATCCTGCGTTGCATGAAAAACGTGTTTAGTTTTGATACCCTTGTATTTATTTGCATATAGCCAGCATCAGCAGTTTGGCCCGCTTTCGAACAGATATGACATCCCATCCAATAATGCTCTGACTTTCATGACCATAAGAAAAACATATTAAGACACCCACAGACAAAATTACTAACTCGATTATTTATAAACTAATAATATGATTATTTTCTAGAATTTCATAAGATGCATGACAAGGCATGTCTACTTTTAATGTGAATACATGATACAATAGCTGAACCCCAACTCTATAGGGGTTGGATTCATACATTATACTACAAAGAATGGTATAAATTTTTCTGGGAAAAAATTGATCACTCTAAGCAGTGGCAGGCACAGATAGTTTTATAACCCTGCTGAAACCAAACCGTGCAAAGTAACAATCCCAATCAAGACATTTTCATCATTGATAACAGGCAAAAACTGTACGGGTGACGGAGGTGCTTCCATCTTCTTCATGGCCTCCACCGCCATAGCGTCCGGACCAATGATTTTCGGTTTCCTAACATTGAAGAAAATGTCATCTCAGTATATATCTCTTTAACTATTATGTGATTATTAAAGAATTAGCTTATCAAATGGATGTGTTTTGCCCATGCACGCTCTTACCTGTTGCACATTTCCCCCACAGTGAGCTTGAAAATGCCCTCCCCACTAGCTTTGAGCGTGCGTCGGAGATCACCATCTGTGAATGTCCCAATCAGATGATGTTGCTCATCTACAACAAGCAGACATCCACATCCTTTACTTGTTAATTCCACCAGCTGATCCATAATAAGATCTGCTTCCCGGCAAACAGGAAGCTCATCCTGCTTCTTCATGACATCCTTTACCTGCACATAGTAACCAAGCCATTTTTTACTTTATGATGATTAGCATCTATATGCTTGAAATGTTATCATTAAGACAAGACAACAAAACAATTTCTGGCAATAATCTGCAGCCGCTACAACATGAACTAGTGAGCAGTGGTGTCTTCAGTCTAATATTCAACTCCCCCATTAGGAGATGTTACTAATCGACCATAGATAAACAATTACTTGAGTTCATTTTGCATATACAAATTTTTACTTCGGCTTCAAGAATGCATGTGCATAGACTCTGGCCATAAAATTTAGTTCTGGTTACTACAACAATTCAGTGTTTGAAAAAAGCCACTCCCACTACTCTAGGTTCTAATCCCCATCAGCAGCAGTAACCTTGCGGCAACAACATGGGATTGGAAAGAAACAGCATAGCAGAAGCCAAAGCCACATTTCAACACAAACGACAGAATCAAAAGTTCTCGAGGTTAAAAAAAAAAAAGAAGGGAATGGCGTCATGTGTCAGCAACATAAATCAAACCTATTCTCGACTTCAGTGAAATCATGTCAGCTACGATAAATAAGATTTGAAGTCTCGCATTGCCATAGCCATAATCCAAGTCACAAAGCCAACAAAGAACAAGAACATAACAAATAAAAAAACCACCACAAGAAAGATCTCTCCTATAGAACGAATTAGCGATTATTGATAAGAAAATAACAAATTATACAACAAACCGAGACTTAATTATGAGCTAATCAGGCTTCGTCATGTACACCAGTTTAACTTTCATAATTCATAATTCTTTTATCATCATAACACGGATAATTTTGTAGGAGAAAAATTCAACATGGCAACGAAAGCGATAAGGAATTGAGCCGCACCTTGAAGATAAGGTGTTTGCCAATCCTCCCTGCAGGGTGATTGCTGGCGTAGTCTTCCTTGCTCAAATTTCTGGCTTGCATAAGAGCAATTGCCACCGTATCCCCGAAAACCATCTGGATGGCTGTAGAAGTCACCGGAGCCAGATTAAACGGACACAATTCCCTCTCCAAAGGCAAATGCACGTTCATGTCGCACATGCCAGCCAACACATTCCCTTCGACGGAGGTGACCGATATCAGATAGGCGCCCTTGGCCCGGGCACAAGGAACAAGCCTAACAAGTTCCTCGGTGTTACCAGATTTGCTGAAAAGGACGACAACGTCACGATAGCTAAGAATTCCGATGTCACCATGGAGAGCATCGACGGGGGATAGGAATGCAGATGTGATGCCGAGGGAGACTAGAGTCTGAGAGATCTTGTGAGCGACGAATCCAGATTTGCCGACACCGGTGAAGAAGATGGTACCGGAGGAATTGAGGAGGGTACGAGTGAATGCAAGTGTTTGGGAATGGTCGATGTGGTTGAAGAAGAAGTTGATGTGGCTCTGCTGAGATTTGAAGAGGCTGAGGAGGGCGGCCTCGTCGATCAGAGGGAGGGATTGTTTGGACGGCGAGGGAGAAACAGCATCTGAAAATGGAGACAGAGAACCCATATTGGAGCGAGAGGACTAGAATAGAATGAAAATAGCTTCTCCAATGGCGGATCTTTTGAACACCAAGAGTGAAGATGGAAATCAGCGGGGCTACTATTGATCTAGAATTTTTGGCGTCTGGTTATATTAAAATATATACTAAATTAATTAAGCAAATTTAGTGTTTTTGCCAGCAAATGTGGCGCCTTTTAAAGTCTGGCAGGTTCCGTTAATTTACGCGGTGAGGCTTAAGAAAGTGAAAGCCGCGCGTCGGTGATTCCATCGTCATAAGCTGCGCCAAAACTAGTTTTTGTTTGTTTATTGGTAATGAGCAAAGTAAGGGGCTGATTTGGGCTCTTTCATGGTTTTTCTTTTAGGTACAAATATTTTTTAGCCCAACATAATTTGCAGTCAGTTATAGGATCGGCCCAATACAGGCTTAGGGTATTTGTATATTTGGACTGCAGGCCCAAAAAAGCTCTCTCTTCCACCATGGGACCGAAACCCACCCAAACTAACCCACAAGTTTCGAAGACCTTTTTTTGACCTTGCAAGTTTCTAAGACTCGACTGGTGTAAAATTTTCTATTGAAAAGGTGTCAATGACCCCTCCATAAAATTTATAGAAAGCTGCGCTATTCATAATATATTGGTAATGTAACCTATTTTTAGTGATGGATTGTCTTAAGAAAACTTATGGTTTCGAAGGAAAACTTTTTCAGAATGTTGGGCATAAAGATGAAAATAGATTACTCAGTTAAAATATTCAAAAATTTGGGCGATTATTCTCCAGGTATGTGTTTTCTTGGAAGAATACCGGTACAAAAACTGTCTACAAAATGGCCCATCAAAGGCCCATTAAACGATGGTTTTTATTGGGGCTTTCTTGGGTCCATGATCCAGTTATGCACATTCTTTTTTGTCCCTTTTTCAGAGCTTCTTTCTTTTGCCGGCTATGAATTTTGAACAACGCAATTTATATATTATTATTCGTTAAATGAAAAAGAGTAGTCAAGACTCAGTCGGCCCATTATTTGTACGACATATAATGTCTTGAATTTCGGAAAGTTTGAGGAATTACAAGTCTTGAATGCAACAATTATCTGTACAAGTATTGTTATCGTATTGTTTTGAAATGAAAAGTGAAAACTTTATTTGTATATTTTAAAGAAATACCCATTGATTTTTCAAATAATATTATTAAGGGAAAAAAATTCAAAAGCGTGACATCGAAGTCACAAAAAGAAAGAAAAACTAGGACGATCCTGATCACGATAGGCGGCCACGAACGTGCTTGCGGAGACATAATGCGAGAATATCGCACCGTGTGGTCAATTGGATGCGATGCAGCCTTCCGATTCAAACAAAGGACTATTCATAATTTTTTCTTGATAAAAAGATAAAATGCATTCATTAAAAGACAATTAAAAGGATTATCCATAAGTAAGTCCTGATATAGATTTTTAGGTATGGATAATAATTCCTTTCAGGTATTTCTAGTGAATTCTTTTAAGGGAATTGTTAGAAAACTTTCTTTTTATTAAGGAAAAACCCCCTAAAAAAACAGTGGGCCCCGTTTAGGAGCCTCCGCACCGGGCAATGCTCACGTGCCCCCCTGATGGCCATGTCGGGTCCTGGACAATGCTTCTGGGCTAAGCGCTTGGCGCGTGGCAGCTGAAGTAACCATTAGACCAAGAAGCAACAATGGGCTCGCATACATCAAATGATGTTTATATTAATATCAGGAAATAAATGGAAGACATGGTTCTATCTGTAGGATGGACAGGAAAAAGATATTTTGATCCTATGTAGACGAAAAAAATTTTTATATAAATGCATAAGTTTACTTTTTATTTATTATTATGTGAATTTTATTTTCATAAAATATATTATATATTAAATAAAAATAGAATTGAAAAGTTATTAAATTTTAAATGAAATAATAAAATCTGAAGTTTTTATTAATCTGTCTAAAATATATTAAAAGCGACTTATAAGTATATAACAATACTGTATTAAGACTTAAATAAGCCAATTCAAGGAAGGGCTAGCCATTGAAGTGATGAAGATTAAAATATAGTATTAATATGTTACTATGATTTTTGAATGTCGTTTGGAGGAGCGGCGGAGGGAGATGGGGCCCGCCTAGTTGCTTTTGGAGAGGTCAGATCAGACTTTTACGTACGGAGACACCTCGGCTCCTATCAATTTCTTTGGTTTTTTGCTTCTCTAATTTCCTATTTCCCTCTCTTTTAATGAGGACATGTCCCGTCAGATGCAACGCCGATTCTGCATGGGCTCCACGTTCACATTCTTATTTAAGCTTTTTAGGTTTATAATTTACATACCCTTTTTCTCCCCAAATCATCAATAATGCCCTGCTGAAATTATATGCACCTCTCTATTTCAGAAATTAGCTAATTAAGAAAGTAAAAGAAAGGTTGGGAAGCCTTTTTTCCTCCCTTAACAGATGCATGGTAATCCTTGGGTCCTATGTGTATGAGCTTGCTAGGGAGTTGATTTTTATTATAGATATAATTTATTTTATCCCTTATATACTTATCTTTTTTCCTTATACTAAGAAAGTATTATTTTATTAATAAGATGATCAGGGTAGTTGATTGACTAGAAGCAATGAATCAATTGATGATCATCTACACAGGTCAGTGTCGAAGTTAGGGCAATAAATAATCAGATCCAACTAAGAACCCTAATTAATGGGATGTGATATAAATATGCTATATATCATATCGCAAAACAAGGAAGGAAGAAAGTCTCGGGTACATGATTTTTTTAAAGCACCGTTTAATCAGCTGATAAGGA